TCTGCTGCCCGTGAATGTGGAAGCCTGATCAACCGCATCCAACTGTAGACGACTACTTCAGTGATGATGGTGGCCACAGAGGAAGCCTCTGTTTGTCGATGTCTCTTCCGCCCAGAACTCTTTCATTTTTTGCTGGATTTGAAATCCGAGGGGTATGTGTAAGATGTCTAATAGAATATTTTCTATGTATAATTCCATTAGAATCATTTAAAATCTATCAAAACAGATAAGAATTGAAATTTATGAAATGTTTAAGAACACCAAACTTGTCATAGACTCCATAGAAATTCAAATTTAGAACACCAAAATTTTGATGGAATTCTAAATTCCTATAAAATCCATGAGATTCCATATTTGGGACACCCATATTCCCCTAATATTGTAATTGTTTAAATCTAGTTAAATCTGTAAAATGTTCCCCATTAGGATGCTACATTGCTACTAGTATAAAACGTTGCAACATTTTTTTTGAACGACGTTGCAACATTTTTAAAAAATGGAAGAAGCATACTTCACATAAATGTGATCTATTATGGATTGATCTTATCTAGTGCCCGTTTGGAGAACTCTGTTTTCGGCTTATCGGGCTTATCAGCCAGCTTTTTCACCAAACACGTAACTTTTACTTTTGTGCGCTGAATTGTGTAATAAGCCGAAAAAGTAAGGTTGAAGTTACTTTTCTGGCTGTATTGGCTGAAGTTACTGTAGAGGACCATTTTAGCTATTTTTACATATAATTTTTTCTTTAATTTATTAATAAAATATATTTTTAAAATATTTTTTTCTTAAATCAGCAGAATCAGCCAAAACAGCCACTCCAGCCAGAATATCATAAATTTCAGCAGAATCAGCCAAAACAGCCGATTTTGGTGCTACCAAACGGACTCCTAATCTAATTTCTCGTTCAAATAAGTCCACCCTTCTAATGATTTCAAAATACTCCACTCATGTAGCAATGTCGGCTTTTCCACACAGCGGTGATTACCTATCTGTAAACCTCAAAACCCCTTCCCTATACCCACCCGCGTTTTGCTCAAACTATCTAACCATCCTTTATTCCCGCCGCTCCCTTCACAGACGCATTTCCATCTTCCATTCCCATTTTCTCGAGCGATAATGGGGAGCGGCAGGACTCGGTGGAAGCTCTCATTCCACAGCTCGTTTCTCAGAAAGCATCTTCTCGCCGTTCCCGAAGAGTTCTTGTGTCCCATCTCTCGGTCTCCCATGGCCGACCCTGTCATCGTCTCTTCCGGCCATACCTTCGAGCGCCAGTGCGTTGTTGCCTGCAAGTCTCTGTCCTTTATCCCAACACTTTCGGATGGATCCGTCCCCGATTTCTCCACTGTCATCCCCAATATAGCCCTCAGATCTGCCATTCTGAACTGGTGCCGCTCATCTCTTCTGGATTCTCCCAAGCGGATCGATTTTGTTTCGGCCGTGAAGCTCGTCCGTACACTCATGGCCGCTCAAAACCATGAGCCCTACTTGGAGAGCAGCGACAATGTTAGCGATTTGGCGCTCAGTGAGTCGCAGTCTGTGGTGGACCGTACGCCTAGTCTACTATCGACGACGAGCTCTGAGAGATCGGCGGCGGCGGAGACCATAGGACGTAGTCCTGCACGGCCGGCGTGTTTGTCTTCTTCTTCGTCGTCGTCCGATTTGGAAGCTCTTTACGCGAACAATATGGAGGAAGAAGAGTTTGTGGCAAAGCTCAAGAGCTCCCTGGTGTCGGAGCAGGAGGAATCCGCAGCGTCGCTCCGGAAATTGACCCGAACCCGGGAGGAAAAGCGGATCCACCTCTGCACTCCCAGATTACTAGCGGCGCTCCGACCGCTCATCACCTCCAGGTACGCCTCCGTCCAGATCAACGCGGTCGCGGCGGTTGTAAACCTCTCCTTAGAGAATCAAAACAAGGTGAGAATCGTGCGGTCAGGAATCGTGCCGCCGTTGATCGTCGTGCTTAAAGGAGGCACCCCTGAATCGCAGGACCACGCCGCCGGTGCGCTCTTCAGCCTAGCCCTAGACGATCATAACAAGACCGCAATAGGTGTTCTCGGAGCTCTTCCTCCGCTTCTCTATTCCCTGCGATCCGAATCCCAACGAACCCGGCACGACTCCGTTCTAGCACTCTACCATCTCTCTAAAGTCCAAAGCAACCGGGCTAAACTGGTGAAACTCGGGTCGGTCCAAACCCTAATCGACATGGTCAAATCGGGTCACATGACGAGCCGGGTCCTCCTGATTCTGGGTAACCTTGCTAACAGCCCGGAAGGGCGGGCAGCCATGCTGGACGGCGGTGCGGTGGATTGCTTTGTAAGTATGCTGAAAGAAGAGGAAAGTGAATCCGACTCCATTACAGAGAGATGTGTTTCTGCATTTTACGGGCTTAGCCATGGCGGGTTGAGGTTTAAGGGGCTGGCTAAGGATGCCGGAGCAGAGGAAGTGTTGGTGAAGTTGGAAGAGACCGGAAGTGAACGGGTCGGGTTGAAGGCTAAGAGGATACTGGAGGTGTTGAGGAAGAAGGAGGATGAAGAGGTGGAAGAGGAGGTGGATTGGGAAAAGCTCTTGAACTGTGATGATAAAGACATTAGCCAAACACGGTGTTAGGGTTGATTATGGTTTATCTCTTTAATTTTTGCGCTAATTTGATTCATTTGCAATGAATGAATGAATGAAATTTGTAATTATTTTTGAGTTTCTGGCTTCACATAGTTGTAAGCCTGTAAATAAAGTTTTGGGAAGATAGTTTGAAGTGGGTTTTTAAATTAGTAAAACAGGCTCAAATTGCTAGTTTTGTGCCACTTTCATATTGTTTGATTTGGTTTTCATTTCTCCAAGAGCAAAAAAAAATGTCTTTAGGAACCTTCATCAAGAAGATGGTTAAAGTGAGAAATTGTGCTATGATTCCTATGAATCTGACTTTATTTGGAGGTAAGTTTAACAAGGGACCAAGAGGATTTTTGTCATCTACAGTATAGATTGCTTTGTGCAATTATGCTTTATACGTGTATATATGCTTTCAGGTGAGATTATGGGAGTGTTTGTATGGATGGACTTGGTTCGGGCCTCCGGTCCTGGATTGGAGGGCCCGGAACCGGCCCGTGTAACTGCCGGGTCCGGGCTGGGCCTCAGGTATATATATATATATATATATATATATATATATATAATAGAGATCAAATATAAAGCCTTCTTAATTTACAAAGTACAAGCTCATCTTGACCGTCCGATGAGTTGATCCAAAGGACATAAAGGCAAGGTGGCATTTTTGTAATAAAACTCAAGTTTTTAGGGTGCAACTTGTTGCACCTTAATGTGCAACTGCTATTTTTATGACTTTATAATGTGCAATACTTTGAACCTCAATATGCAATGCAAATAACGTCAAGGTGCATCGTACAAATATTTGCACAATAAGCACACTTTGTACTTGATCTTTCCCCTATATATATATATATATATATATATATATAGACTAATATTCAGGTCCGGCCAGGCCGGACCACTCCCCCCGTCCGGCCTCCTCCATTTGGGGGCCTTCCCGATGGTATTTTTTGCTCAAATTTTTTGTGTAGGTTCCTCATCAAGTCTAGTTCATCCATACCAAATTTCAGCCAAAAATTCAATCGGGAAGGTCGTCAAATGATTTTTGCAAGTTAACTGGTCCGGAAAATTCATATTCCGGACCAGTTAACTTGCAAAAATCATTTGACGACCTTCCCGATTGAATTTTTGGCTGAAATTTGGTATGGTTGAACTAGACTTGATGAGGAACCTACACAAAAAAATTTGAGCAAAAAATATCACCGGGAAGGCCCCCAAATGGAGGAGGTCGGACGGGGCTCCGGTCAGGTATACCTGACCGGAAGACTACTCTCTCTCTCTCTCTCTCTCTCTCTCTCTCTCTCTCTCTATATATATATATATATATATATATATATATATATATATATATTTGCCTTTTCCTAATTAACCCCCCCCCCACCCCACACCCAAACCACCCAAACCATCTCAAATAGCCAAAATACTCAGCTCAATCCAAAAACTTAAAAAACAATTCAAAAAAAAAAAATTAAAATGGCCCAGACCGGGCCTGAACCGGCCGGGCCAGTTCACGTTTTGAGGGGGCCGAGTCCGGACCGGAACCACCTCGGGTCGGGCCTACCCGGACCGGTCCTTGACCGGGCCACCGGGCAGGAACAGTGGCGGGCCGGGCCGGTTCCGGGTCGGGCCACCCGGCCCGAGTCCACCCATAAGTGTTTGCAATTGCTTCAACTTTAAAAAAGTGATTTTTTAAATTGATTTTGAGAAAAGTGATTAATAGTAAAAGTTGGTAGTGTTTGAGAAAAAAGTGATTCTGGAAAAGTAAAAGTTTGTAATGTTTGAGAAAATAAGTACTTTTTGTGTAATAGAAAAAGTGAAAAGCAGTTTAAAGCACTATTCTACCTACTTCCATCTTTTAGCTTTTAAGTGATTAATTTAAGCATAAACTGTTATTTGAAAACACTCTTTTCAGCTTTTTTAAAGTCAAAAGCGGAAAAGCTCTTTTTTAAGCGGAAAACACTCCTTATATACATCTTGTTTTAGAAAAAAATTAACCTTGCACTCCATCGTTTGAAAAGTTAATTTTTGCGCATGTGTTATTAGACTTTTGCAGCGAAGAGATTCACATATTGATTTCCCAAAAAATGAGATGTAAAATATAATTTTGACCACAAAATGGAGTACACTCAAATTACCTCCTATACTTGCCAACAATGCTTGAACCTGGGTACATACAATTGTACACATAGTTACACAATTTCATTTCACATCTAAAGAATATCTTATCATAGATAATTATTGTGTGTTACAAACATTGATTTGGTGCTGATAATATGAACAATTGAACATTATGTTAAGTAGACATATGAGTATCCAAACAATTTCCAAACAATTTTCTTTGAATGTTTTACAAGTTTTTCAAATAAAATTCTTCAAAGAAACAAACACTAGTTTTTCAAACGATGATTGTATGATTTTTTTTTTAAAAAATCAAATAACTAATTAAACGATAGCAAAGATACAAGAGAATGAATAACCTAAGGCTACAATGAGATGAGACATAGAATGGAACAGATCCAATGAATCCTTCCAGATCGCTAACCCCGCAATAATGTAGTCTAGTCTAACAATCTTGCTGCTCTTGTTGCTACTTCAAAGAGAAAATAAAAAATTACAACTAACAGAACCGTCTTCACCAGCCATCGGAAAGAGAGAATAGGTTTGACCAGCAACCAACAAAGGAAAATCAATTGAGCAGAAATTTTCTGAAGCATCGGTTTGACTAGCCACCGAAAAGGAGATCCAATTGAGCATCTTCTTCTTCCCAGAGCGAGGCGGTGGTTCAGATGGTGGGCGAGTATTTGAATCATCGGAACAACAAGGTTGAAAAAGCTTTATCAACCATGAACAACGAAAATTCACCAGACCGATCACACCGATTAGAAACACCCAAACTCTAGACATTGCTAGGAGAATAACATATCACACGCTCACATGAATCGGACAAAATTCTTGGCCAATGAAGAAGCTGGTTCAAAATCCTCGAAAATAGAAATTAAAAAAGAGTGGAAGCATTGAAAAACCTTTGATTCGTTCTTTCACTGCATAGAGAATGTCATCATCTTCCAAAACTTTTTGCTAATTGAAAAGGAGAAGGTCGAAAATCAGATCTTGAAGGAGGTTGGGGATGACCGCCTAGGGTTTCCCTAGGGCCGGCTCTCCAAAACAGCCACTCCTCTAGATTAACGATGATTGTATGATAAAAGCTGAAAATTGATAAAGACGTTGTTGCCCAAAACCACCTAACTAAAATCCAACACTATTCATTTTATAACCCAAGATAAACCCTAATTAGGGATTTTAATATCCTTCGAATAACAAAACAAAAATAGAAATCCTAATCAATGCCAAAACCGAAAACATAACAAAAAAAGTTATAAAAAATAAAACTAAAACCACAACCAACTACGAAGGTGTACTCCAGCTCCTCATCAACTCCATCCTCCTTCGAGACAACCTCGTCCTTAAGGTTGAAATATGAAGATTGACCCACAAAACTCTCCTTACTCATCCAAGAAGCATCATCCCTGGATTGCTTGGACAACTAACGACACGCTTCTTCTTGTTAGATCTAAACTGATTATCCCTCAGATGCATAAGATCAAACTCAATTGTTCTCGGTGGTCCGCATAAGATCGACTATACACCCAAATATTATTGAAGAAAATCAATACAAACTTTTGCAAGTAAGGTCAGAAGTAATTCATTGCGGAATGGAATGTTGTTGAGCATTTATCAATTCAATGGGCACAACTAAGAACTCATAATGCATGTTATGTGTTTCGAATGTCATCTTATGGATGTGGGGTTCCGCCACCCTCATTGATGATAACTGGAGCACAAATATATCTTGGAGAACATGACAACCATATCTAACTCATCTAGCATCTCATGTATCACTGGAATTAGGTATTTATTTGGCACTATGGACATTTGAAGCTCTCGATAGTCCACATAGAATCGCCAACTACCATCTTTCTTTTAACCAAAAGAAGAGGATCGAGAATGTGTTGTAACTTGATTGAATGATTTTAGCTCGTAACATTTCATCCACCAGTATTTCAATCTCATCTCTCTGCAAGAGGCTATATTTGTAAGGTTGAACTGACTCACGGTATATATGAGCTACATTACTTTAAATTTATTCTTTTTTTACATTGCCCAAAATTGCCAATGCTATACTAATGTTATTTTGTGATATTGAATGTATTTTGGTAATTTTACACTAGAACATTTTGAAATGACAAATTACAGAAACATTATGTACCGATTATGTATTTTACTTGATAGGTTTAATAATATATATAAAAAGAATGACACAAATATTACTTCTCAGTTTTATTAGAAAAAAATAAGACCAAATTTCTTTTTGACAAAAAAGTGACCGAAAGGCTGAAACCAAATCGAAGACCATGGAGCTCCCCAGCCGTACATATCAACTTTTCCATTTTCCTTGTTACGCTCGAAGACCTTGGAGCTCACTAGGGACGGAGCAGACGCGACAGACATCGCAAGATGAAGAAGATGCATCAGACATCGACACAAATAATCCACCACCTCTACTGATAGAGCAACTATATCGTTGCATTGGCCTTCGCCTTCGCCCTCCGCGGATAGAGCAAACAGATTGTCACCGTAGCCCTCGCACTGGTCTTCGACGTCCTCGTCCCAATCCCCTACACACTTCTTCAGAGTCGTCTTCTGTCCCGGCCCCCTACACACATTTCAATCTCATCTCTCTGCAAGAGGTCATATTGTCTGGTCCGAACTGATCTGGTCTGATCTGATAAATGTCTGACTTCTATGTCTTTATAACTATCCAAATCTGATCTAGTCTGATTTTATCTGTCTGATCTGGTCTGGGACTGACCAACAATGCTTGGGATTGGGGTACATACAATTGTACGCTTAGTTACACAACTTCATTTCACATATTAAGAATGTCTTATCATATATAATTAGGATTATTAGCTTATTTTATCTCAAACTATCATCAAATTCACAAATCTATCATATTCACTTTTATAAGATAATAAAAAAAGATTCAAATTTCATCCTTTTCAACAATTATGCTTTTGATTTTTCAAAATTACATACTTTTATCAATACCAATAAGATAAAAGCAATACAAGTTTGTGAACTTAAAACTAGACAGAAGTGAAAAAATATGAAATATGAATATGATTATGATTTTCTTCTTAAGTTTTACGAATTCATCCATTGAAAGTGTAATTGTGAGAAAAATTGAAGTTTGAGTCTTTTTTAATACAAGTAAAAGTATGGGATGAATTTGTTAATTTGATGGTAGTTGGGGATATATTTAATCAATAATTCATATAATTATTGCGTGTTAGCATGCTTTTACTCGGACTGTTTTCAGTCTCAGATCAGATCAGACCAAACCAGACTTGGATAGTTATAAAATACACAGAGACCAGACATTTATCAGACCAGTTCATACCAGACAAATCCAGACTAGATGAAAAAATTTCAGTCCAAGTAAAAAAAATCCTTACAAACATTGATTTTGTGCTTATAACATGAACATCTATTTTAAGTAGACATATGACTTCCCAAATAATTGTTGTTTGAACAATTTACATGTTTTCATTTAAAATTCTTCAAATGAAAGCTGAGCACTGGTAATCAATGGAAGACATCATCGCACAAAGCCACTAGGCTAAAACTCAATATTATTCATTTCATAACCCAAAATAAACCCTATTTAGATATTTAAATATCCTTCGAATTACAGACCCTAGTCAAGCACAAAAACTGCAGCCATCAACCAGTCCGTATACGGTGCAACCAAACCACCATGAGCATCGTACTCCTCCCATCAAAACGACACAGTTTTGCATTTTTTTAATAAAAATTTTCGCGCATGAACAGTACGCGCGTCTACAGTAATTTTTTTCCTTTGTCCTAGTAGCAAAGTGATGTAACTCACGTGTAAGGAAATGTAACTCACGTTATTAATCAATGTAACTCAAGTCCAGTCGAAATGTAACTTGTCCAATACATATATAGTATAAGAAATAAAACATTGATTTCAATGTAAATAATGAAAAAGGAGTCTAATTGCCCAATTATTTTACAAAAATAGTGTATATGTTTTGTTTCTAATATATCAAGGCTATAAAAATTAATTTTTTATAAATTTATTTTTTCTTTGAGTAGCAGATGTTTATTAAGTTGTGTAACTCACATAATATTGTGGTGCAACTCGCATTATGAAAAATGTAAATTACATGTAAACAAGATGTAACACATGTATATTGAGATGTAACTCATGCATAAACAAATGTAACTCGCGAATAAGAAGATGTAAATTCATACAATATCAAATGTAAACAATGAAAATGATGAGTTTTATTCTGCAATTAGTTTACATAAATAGTGAATATGTTTTTTTAATATTAAAGTCATAAATATCTTTTAAAGAAGAATCACTTTTCTATATGGGTATGTTTATTTTATTTGAGCAATAAATGAATCTAGCTATGTTAAGTTTTTTTTTTATTGATAAAACTTTGTTTGGTGCTGGTTGTGGAATGCATCATACGAACTACACAACAAATTGGGGAGGAGAAGTGTGTTGGGGAGGAGTGTGCGAGTCACAACTGTGATGGAGAAAAAAAAAATGACGAACGAGTATTAACGGAGAAGAGCAGCGGCTGGTCAAAGGAGAAGGAGTGTGCGCGATGTTGCGTCGTTTTGCAACCGGGTGCACCATCCTCATTATGCGCCGGTTCCACGATATAATTTGCGGCCATCAACTAGACAACGAAGGTGGACTCAAGCCCGTCCCCGCCTCCACTAAACCAACAAGAACCTCATCATTTTCTCCCCCAACCCAAGCTTCTGCTCCCTATTTCAACTTCATCCTCATTCGAAACAACCATATTTTCAAGGTTAAATTGCAAATTGACTCACAAAACTCTCACTAATCCAAGAAGCATCATCAATGGATTGCCTGAGACACCCAAAGGCATGCTTCTTCTTATTAGCTTTAAACTCATATCCCCAGATGTGTAAGACCAAATCAATTGTTCGTAGTGGCCTGCTCAAGATCAACTATATATCAAAATGATCATCGAAGAAAATGAATACAAACTTTCGCAAGTGAGGCTGGAACAAGTCGTTCATTGCGGTCTGGAATGTTGGTGGGACATTTGTTAATCCGATGGGCATAACTAATAAGAGTTCATAATGCTTGATGTGTGTTCGGAAGGCCATCTTACGGACGTCAGGTAACTAGGTAGTTGATCCTGTCATTCCGGCGGGAACAGTGTCCAACACGTCGGACCAAATAATGAAAGCAATGGCGGACCCAGAGATTGGGGCACACTGGAAACTAAACTTACTTTATTATAACAACCCCAAATGTAATAAAAACAGTAAAAAGTAAGTCATTGGCAAAAATGAAACGAAATAGTTGTTTACATATTAACTAGTTCATTATTGTAACTATGAAATCAAGTCTATGAGTTTTAAAAATGTTGCATAATAGTTACATTTCATTATCGATGATTTTAAAAATATCCTTCTCAATGTAGCACACTAAACAATCCGCAAAAAAAGTCATCTCTCATCTTATTGCGAAGATCTGTCTTGATAATATTCACTGTGGAGAAAGTTGTTTTAATGATGGCTGTTTAAACTAGTGACACTAAAGCGAACTCAATAAGACGATATACCAAGTGAAAAGAATTGTGCACTTTAAGATCAATCATCTTTCTTCAAACATCACCAAAAGTTTGTGTGGCAGAAAATCACATGAATGTAACTTCATGAGGTTCAGTGGCTTTAACTCACAAAAATCGGAAAGCTTAACTTTAGGATCAAGACATGTTAAACAAGTGAGTAATCTATGCTTGACTCACTATAGTGATTCTCCATTTCGAGATTGATTTAGTCAATAACCTACAATGAAAAATAATACTCCATCTGTCTCATTTTATAAGATACACTTTTGGATTTTGGATTGTCTAAAAAATAAGAAAACTTTCCTAAATGGGATTTAATTAACTTTTTACTTTATCACTCCTTATCCCTTTATCTATCATTCACTCTTTACTTTTTGTGAATCTGTTTTTCTCTTACTTTTTGGAGCTTAGAACCGTAAAGTACGTAATTATTTTATCCTTTATTTTCTTAAAACGCACACCAAATACACATGCATCCTACTCCGTGAAATGTCGGACCGGAAGTGTGGGTACATGCCCTCCAAGCCTCCTAGGTCCTCCACTGAATGAAAGTTGAAAACCGATAGTCAATGGAAGACGTCGTTGCCCAAAGCCACCAGACTAAAATCAATATTATTCATTTCATAACCCAAAGTAAACCTTAATTAGGGATTAAATAGAAATAATTACATATTAATGATTAGAATAAAGATTGTTTACAAAAATGTGACTAGTGACTTAAGTAGTTATAAAATTATATGACTATTAGTCATATTTGTGTAAATGAGTTTTATTCTAGTAATATTTTTTTTTAAAAAAACTCATTTAAATACCTTTCTAACAACAGACTAAAAATATAAATCCTTACCAAGCCCAAATTAAAATAGAAAACATAACAAAAAAGTTATACTCGGTAAAAAATAAAATTAAAACCGCAGTCAACAGCCAATCCTTCGGACATTTGGATGTTGATCAGGTTTAGCTCGGTATGAAATGAGTTTAAAGTAACATGTACAATTACAAATGTTATTTTGGAAAAAGGATATTTTTGAACTCTTGGAAATTAAATTTTCTTCTCTTGTATAGTCAATAGTCATGCCTTTGGCTGGAAGACTGTTATATCCAAGCCTAATGAAGCTTTAACATTTGTGAGGAAAAGTTCCTCATCTTCGGGAAAATTAAATGAAATAGTTTTGCATATGTAGTAATATAAGTTACAAAAATGATGTTTGTACTCATCCTTATATCCATCTATGTTTATCAAGACTTTTTTTGTCTATGAATCTCGTTCACAGACAAAGTATTTCTTATTTGTCTGTGAACAATACTTGAACAAAAAAAACCTCACAGAGATGGATATAAGGTGACTAAAAAGGTGGGTAT